TGTTGTCCTATTTGTGGTATTGCATACAGTTAAAATCCTTTGGTTCTTGAGTCATGATCATAAAAATACTTGGGTGAGAAAAAGAAAACAATTCAGTAGCTTCTCCTTTAAAGGAGCACAACTATGATAAAATTATCTGGATTTCCTGACATTAGAAAGAGAAGAGATTTCCATAATATTGACACAACAGTTGCTTTGGACCCCTGATTCACCTCCCTTTCTCCTGGTGAGTTAATGAGATATATTTCCCACCATAAAGATGTGTTGAAGGTATGTCGAAATGTTTTGCGTAGTATCAACAGGCAAGCCCCCACTGAGTGCACATTACGTGCACAGAAAGTGTAGTAGCTGGGAATTTAATGGGCAAACCACATGGAAGATGAGAATTCTACCATGAAACTACCACTGCCCCAAAGGCCATTAGCAGAACCCTTGTAAAAGTCTATCATGTATCAAGGGTAATGTAACCGAGAGTAATTACTGAAACCCAAATGAAGGCTGAGCATGATAGTAGGACAAGAGGAAAGAAAAAGGAAACAGAGGAAAGAACTAGGAGGCAAAGGGCATTTATAGGCATGTACATATGTAAATATAGAGGTCTAAATACAGACATGTACATATGTAAATATATTTATATATGAGGATGGGGAAATAGATCTATGTGCATATATGTATAGGCTTAGTATTAAGGTAGCAGATGGACATTGGGTCTCCATGCAAGTACTCCCTCAATGCAAGAATACTTGGTTCAATTAAACTGGCATTCCATGGTGCTCACCTTCCGGACGCGACCGCTGAAGACAAAGTGGGTGCATAAGCTAATGTGGTAAAGAAAGCTGATGGAGCCTGGCTATCAAAAGATATTGTATAGGGTCTTAAAGACTTGAAGGTAAATAAGCAGCCATCTATCTGAGAAGCAACAAAGCCCATATGGAAGAAGCACACCAGACTGTGTGAACATGAGGTGTCAAAGGGATCGGGTATCAGGCATCAAAGAACAAAAAATCAAATCATTGTGAATGATGGGGAGCGCAGATTGGGGACCCACGACCTATCTGTAGGCAACTGGACATCCCCTTACAGAAGGGTCTCAGGAAGGAGACGAGCCAGTCAGGGTGCAGTGTAGCAATGATGAAACTAGCTTTCCTCTAGTTCCTAAATGCTTCCTCCCCACCTCCCCCACCCACTATCATGATCCCAATTCTACCTTACAAATCTGACTAGACCAGAGGATGTTCACTGGTACAGATAGGAAATGGAAACACAGGGAATCCAGGACCAGTGATTAGAGTGGTGATACTGGGAGGGTAGAAGGAAGGTGGGGTGGAAAGGGGGAACCGATTACAAGGATCTACATATAACCTCCTCCCTGGGGGATGGACAACAGAAAAGGTGGGTGAAGGGAGACATCTGACAGTGTAAAATATGACAAAATAATAATAATTTATAAATTATCAAGGGTTCATGAGGGAGGGGGGTGTGGAGAAGGAGGGAAAAAATGAGGAGCCGATACCAAGGGTTCAAGTAGAAAGCAAATGTTTTGAGAATGATGATGGCAACCAACGTACAAATGTGCTTGACACAATGGATGGATGGATGGATGGATTGTGATAAGAGTTGTATGAGCCCCCAATAAAATGATTTTTTTTAATTTTTTAATGAGAAGGAAAAATTAAGTCCATCAAGTATATTCCTTTTGTATCCTGCTTAATGTTCTCATTGCCACACCCTTGTAATAGAGACTGCTCTTTCAGTTGCTTCCTACTGCCCAGGGAATAAAGACAAAATTTATTAGCATGAGTATAAGACTCTACAAAAATCACGTAGAGGCAGCCTCTGACCTCATCTGACTTTCTAAGTGGGAAGGGGAATCAAAGTCCACATTAGCACAAGGCCAATCCCTGTGAGGCAGAGGTCAGACGTGCCTCTATCCACCAACCAGTTCACCAGTTCTGACACCGTAGTCTTTACTTCTCAGCCGAATTAGACACTTAATTGCAATGTCCACACCGAACTCACAGACCTTACTCATGATTATGGGCTATATTCGGGAAGTTAAGTAGTTAACAATACTGAATCAGAAATGGTCAAAACAGTTCTTCAGTCAGGACAGCGTCTGCTCTTCCAGGTCATGCCTACAGGCAGGGCTCTCTCTTATTCTTAGCCTCTCGGCCACATGGCCCTTTGCCTCTGTCCTACTCCAGTAATGTAATGTTAGGGCTGCCAATAAATGCCCAGAGGACAGTCCAGTCTACCATAAACCTCAGCCTGAAGGACCTCAGCTCTCATTCCATGAGTCAGCAAACCTAGCTCCCTCCTAAGTAACTGCCTGGAAGCACACTGCTCCACACCTGAGTCTCCTGCCAGAAGATGCTCAGGGTTATTTGCTCTGTGGGCTGGGAAGCCCACTGCTCTGCCTGGTGCTCTGGCTCTTGGTTCCACTGCAGCATCTTCTCGACATTGCCATGTTTTTCTGACATCACTTCTTTCTGTCTCTGGATTTAGGAAATTCAATGTGCAGGGAGCTTGGTCATCAAAGGGCATGGTCGAGCCTTATAATCTTATATTGAGCAGGATGGCAAAAAGCACTAATTCCGTCCTTAGAGGTTCAAGTTTTTACACTCACTGTTAACACTCACTCACAGCTGAGTCATATAATCCTGTCAGCGTCTCTTCTTCCTGCTCTTATTCAGATCTACCATGAAAAAGGCATTTGGTGGGAGTTACAACGATGACAACTAGAAGAATTACATCAAGTAACTCACTGGACTACAGAATCTCACAGAGCCAACCCTAGTTAGTTGATTTATCCTCTTCCCTCCAGCTCAGCCCAGCCCCCAGGTAGAACTGGCCCCTCCTTTCCTGGTGCTCCGAATGGATCTGTATCACTACCCTCAGAGTATCCACTACCCTTGGGGAAGATTATGTATCTGCATGTTTATCTTGCCACTAAGTCATTCACCCCTCATGGAAGGGGCTGTTGAATCCCCATATTTATGTAGGTGCTTAGTACATCTTTGTGGATTGCATCTATATGTGTATATTCCCATGCACAGGCAATCTAGACTCGAAAAGCTGATTCGATGTCAGGACAAGAAGGAAGGCTCAAAGTAACCCAGTTTTGTGTTTCATAAATATGCTCCAAGAAACATTTGTTGCACAAGTTTTAATGAGCACACTTTAAGGGAATGGGATTTTTAGGAGACATTTGGCAAACACGGCATGATCCCCTGTTTCCAGGAGTCATAACACACTAGAGTAGTATGGGTCTTGATAGAACGCTCACTGGTTTACGTTTGCTTAATATATTAGTTTCCACATTTATTTACATTTAGAACATCCTTGGTGTTTAGCCATATTCTGGAATCCATGGATGCAGTGTTTTCTTCTATGGAAAACAAAATCCAAAATCCAAGCTCACTGCCATCGAGTCAATTCTGACTCATAATAACCCGATAGGACAGAGTAGAACTGCCCCTGTGGATTCTCAAGACTGAAACACAGGAGTAGGAAGCCTCATCTTTCTCCTGCAGAACATGCTGGTGGTTTCGAAATGCTGGCTTTGGGACTAGTAGCCCAACAGGTAACCACTACGTCACTAGGGCTTTTCTATAGATGAGAAAGTTAAGGTCCATCAAGACTGGCTTACACAGAGCAAGGCTTGACCAGGCTCCCTCCATCACCTAATATTGTATGAAGTCTCCCTACTCCTCCTTGACTCACAGTCTCCTCGTTCCCGGGTCTTTGAGCTCTGAGGCTCCTCATATTCCCATAGAAAGTACTGGACACCTTTCTAATGAGTCTCATTAGAGAAGGTGTCGCTTCAAGAACCATGGACCCAAAGGAACCCCCCCACACACACACCTGGGAAGCCCAGCACCTGGGTTCGGTCTTTGGTTTTGAGCTGCTTGTGTCTGAGTGATGCTGAGCTACTAAGGCTTAAAAAGATCCACATGCAAGAGTCTGGGCAATGAATTGACCTATGTCTATGTTAATCAATTTAAAGTATGGCTATTCCTCAGGAATGATTTAGAAATGATGGTGATTAGTAACTTTTGTTAAACAAAAGAGATAACTTTATATTCAGCACTAATAATTGACCCTGACATACAGTAAATGCAGTACTTATGCAATTAATCTGTCCTCGGGCCAGCTTCTAATTTATGGTGACCCCGTGCATGAAGGAACAAAACGTTGCCTGGTCCCATGCCTTCCATCATCAGTTATATATTGGACTATTTTGATCGACAGCGTTTTCATTGGCTGAGTTAGGAGAGTAGATCATCACATCTCTATTCTCGGGCTACTGTAAGCAATTAACGTGCTCAGCGGCTAATGAAAAGGTTGGAGGTTCAAGTTCAATCAAAAGTGCCTTGAAGGAAAGGCCTGGTTATCTACTGTGAAAAACAAGCAGTCATTGAAAACCCCTGGAACCCAGTCTCACTCTGACACTCGTGGGGCTGCTGAGAGTCGGAGTGGACGCAACAGCACCTGGTAGGTAGCTTTAGAGTTCCCATATTATCAGATTCACTCAGCGAAGAAGACGGTGACGTCAAAAAGGCCCAGAATGTTGCCCAAAATCTGTAGAAAAGAAAATTGTCTCCAGAGGCAGGATTCAAACCCATGGAGTCCATCCCTAGCAATCCTATTTTTAATAACGTATGGGTCTGTTTAAGTAAAATTGCTAAAAATCAGAAAGAATGAGATTTGCTCATAATTAGTTAGTGTATCCAATATCATTCATTTAAAAATCAACACTTTGCCACCTGGGGACTCTATTCTAAAGGTACAGTCATCCTTACATTTGTTTCATGACGTTGACAAAGGACGTGACCCTGTGAGCTCTGAGCTGCAAGTGGACATTCCCAGCTCCCAGCTGTCTTTTTGGCACGATATACAGTAACTGGCGAAGAGCAGGCTCTGGGTGGGACTCCTCTCTCATCCGCAGACAATCTCCCTCCCGTGAATGACAGCGATGCCGTGTAACTCAGAAGATTTGGTTACATTTCAAATTTATTTCCAATTGTTAGCTGTTGCATCAACGGAAGGCAAAGGTGACTTTTCTCCCAAGCCCCTGCTGTTCCCCAAATGTTACGGGCAAACTTTCGAAGCCATTGACTCTAGTCAGTATGTAGAAAAACTCCCTTTCTCCCTCCCCCAGCCCCTTGGTTTACCCACCCAACAAAGCCTGGCCCGTGATGGCAGCTTGAACTGCTTAGGGAGTCTGTGCGTTTAGACATGCCTTCTCCCTGACGAAGCAGAGAAAGGTCATAGCGTGCGCCCCTGGGTCCCTCCGACGGGTTGAGAACCTTTCTCTCTGCTCTAGGACACCACCCTATATTCTGAGGCACATATTTCGGGAAGGTGAGAACTCCACCGTCAGGGGTGGCGGTGGTGGGTGGGCGGGCGGCATTTTCTCTCGCGGAGTTGAAGCCAGGGCACGAAGAGGTATCGTTTGGTGCCTCTCAGATAAAGTACTCCCTTTTACTGCTGTCACTGACATCCTGGAGGGTAGGGTCACTCTGCAGAGCCGCGTCTGCGCTCTCGGCAAACTCCGTGCCCTTGGCTTCATTGGTGTGGTATGTGCCCTTGTGCCGGTACTTATAATGCAGCAAGACGTGGACGAGGCAGACCAGGACGAAGACTACTGCGACAATCACACCTGTGGGCAGGAGAAGATGCATGGGTCTGTGTTGAGCAGACAGTCCAGGACCCGGGAAGGAGGAAAGGACACACAGAGATCTACCCAGAACAGACATACTCAGGTGATCAACTCTCAACCCCAAACCATGAGGTCGAGTCCAGCCTCATTCGTACTGTTGCCTGATTTTCCCTCTACCTTCTCTCTGTCTCCTAAATTGCCCCTTCCCTCCCTTTTCGATTTTCCCCCTTCCTTTCTTCCTTCTGTCCTGGCCCACCACACTCTAGGTTCACTCAGCACTTTGCATTCTGACATGGGAATACTATCCCAGGATTACTCCCTGCTCTAGACATACTGTCTCCGGAGGAAGGGAGATGTGTGCTCACTAGCGCAGATGCACACCTGACCCAATACATTTCTGTACGCATGCTGGAAGGACTGGCCCTGGAAGGATATAGGACTCTCAGGAAAACTCCATGGATATCCTGGGACATAGAATTTGCAAGGCTAGAACCAGGAAAGCCCGGCATACTGTACATGTGAGCCGCTTTAGGGATAATAATATAAGTACATGGGGGCTATGAACTTTTTTGTGGGGTAGGTTGGGTGAGGTGCAGTTTGTGCCTCTCAAATGCCTGAATGCTGCTCCACTCTCCACGCAGATCCCAGTTTTTCCTTGTGGAGTGAGGTTGGGTGAGGAGCGTCCACAAGGAGGAGAGGGAAAGACCAGGAAAAGGACTGAGGAGAATGGGGTCCTGAACGATGTCTGAACGTAAAGGCTGGGAGGGTGATTTGGAAGGCTAGTTTTCTCTCTAATTATAGATGCTTCCTGAGCTATAGGTTCCCTGAGCTAATAAGAGGAGTGAATCCCAAAGCAGGAAGCCCAGACGTTCTTGAGACACCATTCAGTGTCACAAGTATGAGTAATAGGGAGCAAGGAATTCCAATCAAGGCCAGGAAGGGTAGGACAAGATTTGCAATGAGTCAAGGATGGAGGTAGGATGGCAAGGAGAGTGTGGGAAGGAGAAGAGGATGGAGTCCAAGAAGCCCCTGTCAGTCCCCTTCACCCACCTTCACCCTCACACCTCAACAGACCATGCCTCTCCATTCCCTGAGTGTGGACCTCTTTCTAAATGTGCTCATCTTGCAACTTGGTCTCTCCACCTGGGCCCAGTGTTAGGTTTTCCAGCTTCACGTTGCAACTGACCACTGAGGAGGGGTACACATTTCCCAAAGACCACCCGCAACCTAAGGAACCTTCCTCCTTCTCCTTCAGGGGCCAAGGATAACTCACCTGCAATGATGATAATGTCGGTCTCAGTGAAGGCCGCCTCTTGGTCTGACTCTGTGAACAGGACAAAAGAGCTAAGGTGAGGGAGGGAGGCTTGTGCCTATGGTACCTCAATCTGACCTGCTGCCCCTTGGCCCTCCTCAAACACCCCTATGCCTGTACAAAGGACAGAGGCTGAAGGATGAGAGGCATCGTGCACTGGCCTGGTGAGGGCAGACATAGTATGGGACACAGGCAGACCTCTGGGCTGGGAGACACGGGCCTGCTTGGCCCCTAGCCAAGATCAGGAGGATGTAGGAACCACAAAGGGAAACAGAGCTTCGATGCGGATGTTTCCCTGCTTTGTCCTATTCCGAAACCAGGTCCTGTTTCTGGAGAAACCCAATATCTGGGCACACCCAATAACCACTCCTGATGTGCATAAAGGAATGTACTGTAAATAATGTCAGTTTCTCTGAGCTTCATTCCCCCCCCACCCCCATAATAATGATAAAAACAGACCCTTTGTGGAGTGTCCACTTATGGCAGGTATTGACTTAGTAACGTTCACATTCATCCTATGAGATGTATAGTTTTTGCCCACAACACAGGTAGTGATGCCGAGGCTTCAAGAGATGCCCACAACCGCACAGCTCATTAAATGGAGGGCCTTGCTCATGTGCCTTTCCCTCTTCCTGTACTGTTCCATCTCCATTCTGCTCCTCCTAAGGGCCCGCTACAAGGCTTTGCACTGCCTCCTGTGGGAGAGACCCTGTGGCATCATCCAAGTTCCTGAGTGGTTTTCCCAACTTCAGTGGCCTGGTGAGTGGAAACTGCACCCTGACCTCCAGCCACTCCAGGAGAGCAGTGAGGAGAAGTGGTCGTTATTAGATCATGGCAATATCAGTGCTAACATGGCAAGTTATGTTGCCACTACATTGCCTGGGCATCTTACTGCAGGGGAGGCTGCTCCCTAATAATCAGGTTCTCTCAATACTCTCTTACATGAGAAAGCGAATGATAATCTCCCAATGCAGCTGCCAGATGATCTCTCTGAAATGAAACCAGCCAGAGGACAATGGCGGGGAGAGGGCCAACCTGGAAGCCCAGGGAAGGAGAGCAGGCTGGTGGGCATGGGAAGATGGGAGAGAGGATAAAACGAGCATATATCAGGAGTCAGGGTAGAGGGAAAGCAGGAACCAAGCGGAAAGGGCAGCAGAGAGGGCTCAAGCTTCCAAAACGGAATAGCAGTCAGACCTGGAGTAGGAGGAGGGGAAGCTGAGGTCATGTTCTGGTTCTAAGACACAGAGAGTGTAAATAAGCACACTCATGGCACAGAATCCATCCTAGAGCTGTTAGGTACTTCAAGTTTGCTCCGACTAATGGCAACCCACAGTACAACAGAATTCAGTATTGCCCGGTTGGTTTACTCAAGTTCATTTTGTTGTTATTGTTGTTGTTTTCTTTTCTTTTTAATCGTTTTATTAGGGGCTCATACGACTCTTATCACAATCCATACATACATCAATTGTGTAAAGCACATTTGTACATTCATTGCCCTCATCATCAAGTTCGTTTTTATGACTACTGCGAGCCCTTGTGGTGTAAGGGTTACAAATTGGGTTATGATCCACTTGGTCGACACTTCGAAACCACCAGCAGCACCGAGGAAGAAAGATGAGGCTTTCTACTCTCGTAAACAGTTACAGTCTCAGAAACCCACAAGGGGGTCTCTATGAGTCAGTATTGACTCAGTAGCAGTGACTTTAGTTTAAGTTTGATATTTTAGGTGCCTTCCAACATAAGGGGCTCCTGTCCCAGCACTATGTTGGGAAAGTATTGTGATCTTAGAGTTCTAAATGGCTAATTTTTGGAAGTCAACTACTAGACCTTTTAAGTCTGGATGTTCCTGTTTACCATGAGAGACGCTACAGGAATTTAAAGTACCTGTGTTATAGCACCCGGAATCACAGCAACACACAAACCACCATAATATGACAAAGTGTAAGATAGGGGCTAGAGCACATAATAGGTATTCAGAAGTTATTGAAAGCATGATTTCTAAAATGAATGTGTGTGTGTGGATGTTCTAGTCCATAATTATTCACTGAGCCACACTTCCTTACTTTCAGGTTAGTAAGAAAAGTTAGCGCCCTCCTCAAGTCAGCATAGGTGATTACACAAGTTTAGTTGCTAGAAATCATCCCTACGTATATTCCAGATGAACACCAATACTTTCGTTTGTCCAGTTGAGCTGTGCTTTGTTCTTCAGCAACTAGTGATAGCTTCCTATGATCAGATAGTCTTGTCAGCATCGGACATATTTTAACTCATTTGTGGTGCTCTGGGCTCAGCATTGAGTTGCTAATCATAAGTTTGCAAGTTCAAACCCATTAGCCACTGAGTCTCAGAAACCATAAAGAGAAGTTCTACTATGTCCTAGGGGGTCACTATAAGTCAATATTAACTTTATAGTTTTGGGTTTAGTCCATGTGAAAGCCCTATTTGGTCGAAGTTATTATTGCACAGATTTAGAAGCTAAGTCCCAGCAAAGTGGAATCATTTTCCTGAGTGTTCAAAAGCAGTTAATGAGTGTTCAAACGCTGCTAATGTGTGTTTAAGTGCACACAATCTGGTTCCAGAGTACTTAGCCCTGCAAAGGCAATGAGCAGACACGAGCCTAGGTGAGCTAGGTAAGTACTAGATAAGAGACTTTCATTACTTTGGGTGAATTTTGTGGTTTGGGTTCTAGGATCGTGTGTCCAAATATGTATCTTGAAACATTAGAAGCACTCCTGGCCAGGACAGTCGGCCTGGGGCAGCACCTGAGACCATTGATAGAGCTTCCCATTGATAGAGCTCTTTCTAGAGTGCATGCTCATGGAGGGAATGTTGGGAAGCCAAGCCTGACGTGTTCAAATTATCTCTCTTCACGCCCACCTCTTCCATACGCACTGAGTTGAATTTGTATAAGTCATATGTGCATGATGTGATTACTACCAGAGTTCAGTCAATTTTTCATAGTCAGATTGGCCACAGATGTCAGAACAGCATAGAGGAAGAAACTTGGGACAGCTGGGAAAGGTGCACCAGTAGCATTATTATCCCTGGGAATACGTTTTTTTTGTTTGTTTGTTTTTTAACAATCATTTTATTGGGGGCTCTTACAGCTCTTATATAGCAACCCATACATCAATTGTATCAAGCATATTTGTACATATGTTGCCATCACTATTTTGTAAACATTTAGTTTCTATTTAAGCCCTTGTTATCAGCTCCTCAACAAGGGCTTAAAAAGGGAATAAATTAAGAATGCAAATGACCAGGTCCCCCTAGACCTACTGCGTCAGAAACATTGAAGTGGACCAGCAATATGTGTGGTAAAAAGCTCTCCAGGAGAAGAGTGATATAACCTGAAAGACATGTGGATACAATTTGTATGGCTAATGGACCACACAAACTTCTATCTTCACAACTCTGAGGCCAAAAGAATTAGATGCTACCCAACTACCACTATCCATTCTGAAAAGGATCACATTAGAATGTCTTGGGTAGAATGGGAGAAAAATATGGAGCAGAATTGAAAATTTAAAAATAAACAAGGCATACTGGTCAGATAGAGACTGATGAAACCCACAAGACTATGGCCTTTAGGTCTGGAATTGAACTCACCTCTATGTTGGAATAACCAACCATTTAAGATTACAAGGGCAGCATTTATCCACAGACTAAGTTCAGAGGGATAAATAAGAAGAGTATTATAGTGAAATGTGCAAATTCCTGAAGTTAGAAAGCCAAAAGGGAAGCCTTTGCTCAGTTTATTTCGAGCTGAAAGAACTGAAGAAAACATTAAAGATTCAAGTTAAAGCATTGAAGGCCTCTATGGAGAAAATCATGAATAATGCAGGAAGCATCAAAAATGATGGAAAGAATATACAGAAATGGTATTCAACAATTCCCTATGGTGGCATATGATCAAGAACCAATGGTACTGAAGGAATAATTCCAAGTTTCTCCGAAATCAAAAAACAAGACTCTTGGAATTGACAGAATACCAATTGAAAAGTTTCAGCAAGCTGGTGAAGCACCAGAAGCACTTCCTAGTCTATGCCAGACATTTGGAAGATAGCTAGCTGGCCAGCCAACTGGAAGAGGTCCATATATCTGTCCATTCCAAGGAAAGGTGACTTAACAGAATGTGGCTATTATTTAACAGTATCATTACTATCACATGCAGGTAAAATTTTGCTGAAGATAATTCAGTGATGCTTGAAACGGTACATCTACAGGTAGCTGCCAGAGACTAAAGTGGGATTCAGAAGAAAATGAGGCTCAAGGGATATAATTGCTGATGTCTAACAAATTTTTTCTGAAAGCAGAAAATACCAGAAAGATGTTTACTTTTATTTTATTTACTATGCAAACACATCCAAGGGCATGTGTTACCAATATTATCAAACTATTGATACTATTGAGAAGAATGAGAATTCTAGAACACTTCACTGTGTTCATGTGGGGCCTGTATATGGATCAAGAGACAGTGTCACTTGAAAAGAATAAGAAAATACTGCATGGTCTAAAATCAGGAAGAGTGTCTTTCAGGGTTGTAACTTTTTACCATATTATTTATTCAGTCTGTATGCTGAGTGTGGTGGTTACATAATTTCATATCAACTTGATAAAATAAGTCAAAGGGTATAGAGTCTAGCTTGTCAATCAGGTCACAGCCTGATGATGCCTCCTTGTGGACATGGTCTTCGCATGCGGATTCTGGCAGCTTCCTCTCTTTCTCCCTGGAAGTGGAACACACGCTCCCTCTCTCTCTGCTTTCAACTTCAAGCCACATGGAGCTATACTGAGACCTAAGTGAGCCATGCAGCGGAGACCTGCAGAGACAGCCCTGTGATGCTTCCATCACCACCGGATCCACAAGATTTGCCATCCACCTGCCTGTGATCTTCCTCCATTCAGCATCACTGCAAGTGCTGCATGAATCTAAAAAGGAAGTTATGGACTCATATCAGACCTGTGGACTAATATTAGACTTATGGACTTGATCTGGACGGGGCTGGGAT